CTGTCCCCACCGTCCCCAGCTCCTCCTGCCACCCCCCCAAGCTCTGCCCCAGAGTCCCAGGCGTGATGGTAAAGCTTCGCCTCTGGGGTCAGAGAGACCTGAGCTGGACTCCTGCTCTGCTGCTGACTAGTGTCTGACTTTGGGACGATTGTGTGGCCCCCTTGAGCCTGTTTCCATGTCTGTAAAAGGGGGAGGCCAACGCCTACAGAGGTGAGGTCCTGAGGGTTAAGGCCACACAAGAGGACCCTGAGCTCAGCCTGGTGAAGCCTAAGGTAGCTCCTGCCTCCGTCTGGGGCTCTGCCATTTGGAGGCTGCGTCCAGGACCCAAGACTCTGGGCTGCTCACGTCCCTTCACCTTGAATCTGGACGGCCGGCTGTGCGTCCTCAGGCAGCAGGTCTCTAATTCAGGTCCTCTGACTGTCCTACTCTATAGAGACTGGCTCCCTCCCAGAGCCGCCGGGGGAGCAGGCGAGATACATGGAGACCAGAAATCACTTCCCAGGGGAGTAAGAGAAACTCGGATGCCAACCAATACTTCGTATCCCAGAGAAAATGAGAAAGAGGTGATCTTACTTATTCTGGGAGGAGCCAGAACTGACAAGTGAGTGGGTGTCGGTGAGGCCCTGGGAGCACGGGATGGACTGGAAACGCCAGCACCCACCTCTGCCCAGGAGGACGTGTAGTCGGAGGGCCCTTCCCTACTCTGACCTCCCGCCTCCTCAAACACTGGGTTCGAAATTCAGAGAAGAAAGATCTGTGCTGAGGACAAAGCCCCAGGAGGACCACAATCTGAGGGAAAACCAGAAGAGCTCAAATCTGTCTCGGACAGCGTCCTGCGGCCAAGGCTCCCACACAGACGACCCCGAGCGTCTGAATCACCAAGGGTTTCTTTTCGGAACTTACCTCCCCACTATTAACTTAATCGTGTTTGTGCAGACTCCGTTCAACGCGAGCGCCAAGGACACGGCTACGAAAGAAAGCAATAAATAACCAGCTGGTTCCCAAACCGAAGTCATCGCCCACAGCACCACTCCTCCATTTAATCCCTTACCGTGGAAATGTGGGCCAACACTTTTAAAAACAGAGGGAAGGCTCGACCGGGTGGCTCAGGTGAGCATCGACCTAGGATCCAGGAGGTCGCAGTTCGAATCCCGGTCGGGGCACGTGCCCGGGTTGTGGGCTCGATCCCCAGCAGGGGGCGTGAGGAGGCAGCCTGTCAGACTCATCACTCATGTTTCTCTCTCCCCCTCTCCCTTCCTCCCTCTGAAATCAATAGAAACCTTTTTTTTAAAAAAACAGAGGAAGCTGGGGTGGCTAGAGTAAAATATAATTAGGACAGGACTTAGGACAGTGACTCTACAGGACTCCAAGTCCCTGCGCCGTGCAATTTATCTCTCCTCCTCGACTGACGTTCAGTGTTGCAGAGAAGCCCATCGATCACGCTCTGGCCTGACATGGGCAGATTTAAGACGGCGGCACGCAGAATCTCTCTTGCTGGTAGCAGGAAACGTTCACTTGTCTATCTCCTTCTGGCAACCTTCTCAGACATCCTTCCCAACAGAGCGGCGGCTGCGACCCTTCCGCAGACGAGGACGTTCCCATCCAGCAGTGATCTCTGGCTGACCCCTCACCTGCCGCAGCTGCCCCGTTACCAAGCAGGTCTGTTTCTGAGGCGGTGAGGCGCCCACACCCTCGCTGGGCTTTGAGAAGGTTGGGCCCAGGGGGTGCCTTCTGCCACCCAGAGCAGCAGGAACTTCTGGACACATTAAGCTTAAAATGCGCAGCATGGGGCTTTCTCCCAGCCACTGGGAGGGGATGTCACGGGTGAAGGACAGACCACCCACAGGGCGTGAGTGACCGGGCCACAGAGCTGCCCCTGCAAGGACCCTGCACCTGTGCTGAGACCCAACGACAGGCAAGTCCATCTGCCCGCAGCTCAGACACGGTGCTCACGCCATGAAAACCTCCCAGTGCCCATTCCTTTGCTTTGCTGAATGATACAGCGTATGAGCCACCAGTTCCCTTTGGCAAATACGAGCAATTCGGTACCAGCTGAGATTTATGCAGGAAAATAGCAGAGCAGGGACATTCTCGGGAAGGAGCTGCCTAGAGCAATGCACGGTCATCACAGGAGACTGATGTGCTGTGGAGCGGCCAGGTGGTCACCGAGGGCGGAGGCCACAGGGATGGATGGAGGGAAAACCTGCCTGCTTGCTATTTATTTATTTATTTCCTCACCCGAGGATCTTGTTTCCATTGCTTTTCAGAGAGTGGAAGGGGGGAGAGAGAAACATCGGTGTGAGAGACACACGCGGATTGGCTGCCTCCCGCGTGGTCCCCGACCGGGGCCGGGGATCGAGCCTGCAACTGAGGTACATGCCCTTGACTGGGATCGAACCTGGGACCCTTCAGTCCACCGTCCCACTGAGGCAAACCGGCCAGGGCAAACCTACCTGCTTTTTAAGTAAATACTTTTATTGAATTTATGGGGGTGACATTGGTTAATAAAATTATATAGGTTTCAGGTGTACAATTCTATATACACCATCTGTATATTGCACCGTGTGTTCACCACCCAAAGTCTCGTCTCCTTCCATCACCATTCATCCTCCTGTACCCCCTTCTACCTCCCACACACCCCTCTCCCCCTGATAATCACACTGTTGTCTGTGTCTATGTTTTATTTATTTTCTGCTTAATCCCTTCTCCTATTTCACCCAGTCCCTCAACCCCCCTCCCCTCTGACAGCTGTCAGTCTGTCCTTTGTATCTACGAGTCTCTTTCTCTGTTTTACTTTGTTCATGAGATTCCACATATAAGTGAAATCATGATACTTGCCTTTCTCTGACTGGCTTATTTCACTTAGAATAATACTCTCCAGGTCCATCCTTGCTGTTGCAAAAGTAAGATTTCCTTCTTTTCTATGGCCGAGTAGTACATCCCCTCACACCTGTCAGAATGGCCCTGACGACTGACAGGCCCTGAGGTCGCCCAGAAATGGCCGGGGGCGTCCAGGTTCGGGGCTGGTCCGGCAGGCTCACTGCTGTTCCCCAGGGGTCAGGCTTCCTATCCTGGTCCTAACTGGTCGTGTAAGAATCATTCCCTGCCCTCCTCCGATCAGAAAGCCCTAATCCCCGGTGCACCTGGGCTTCTCCCTCACCCAGAAAGGACCCAATTCCGCTGCATCTTCATTTCCTCAAAGCCCAATAATTTACAAGCGCCCTTTAGCAGGGACTCTATTTTCAGATTTGCTACCTCACTGAATGTTAAGTCCACATAACACACCAACAACCAAATTCGTGTGAAGGTTTCTGTAACTTTTATGTGTGGTGTCAAAAAGGAAACCTAACTCAGTTTTCCTAATAAAAAGCTGAAAACCTGACTACTGGGAAGTTCATTTTGGCTGCTAAACAATACAAATAGTTTCGGCTTTCTCTAAAAAACTGTCATTTACTCAGCATTTGATTAACATGCAGATCAGAAAATGAACTTATTCCCCGAAACAGTGCACGTGTCCCATGCAGCTATGGCTGTGCGGGGGGACTCGTAACGACGGGGTTACAGTCGCGAAGGCTGCAGCTCTCTTTCCACAGAAACAGCTGCTTAACCACCAAAATGAGACTAAACTGAAGATGAGCTACGGAGCTTGTTTCTAATCTCCACTTTATTTTACACCAGGTTTTGCCCAATTTTGCCTCTAGCCAATGGTGACTGGTTCAGGGCTCTGTGGGGGGTGATTTCTGAACTTTAATGTGCACTGATTGGCCACAAAAGTGAGACTGGACAGCCAGCGGTGACCAAGTTTCAGATTCACTTTCTTGTACCACCAAGAGCTGCCCAGCCGCTGGGCCCAGCAGCACCCATCCCTGCAGGGAAGGACAGAGGCACCAGCCGCCCGCGAGGCGCTTCTCCCTGCGCCCTGGAGCTTCTGAGGACTGTACACACTGCTCACCCTGTTTCTCCCAAGCTTAACTTCACCAAGAGAAAAATCAGCCGGGTGCCACTGAGGTGGTTTTAAATCTAGTGATAATTCAGTCCCGGCCCGGCCCCTAACCCGAGAACTGTGGATACTCTACCTAAGAAGGCTTCCTTAATTTCAGTCTTGTCTGTTCGCCGGATAATCTTCACCACGCAAATAACAGCCAGGGGTGTGAGGAAGGAAATTGCCTGGAAGAAAAAACAAACAATCCCTGTGAGGATCATCAGTGCCAGTTAGCTTCCCTCAGACCTCCTAGCCCAACCACCTCTCCGAACTCCTGACCTCGCACAGAGATGGGGGATTTATATCTATACTTAGAGCCTCCACACACTTGAAACACTGGAGGTCTGATTGCAGGTTGTAACTGATCTGTAATTGCTGGCAGCCGAGTTTAAAGTGGTGGTCTTTTAAACAGAGGGAATGGTCTATAATTACGATCACTCGTTTTTGCCACTAAGCCCCTCACGTGCCTCCCTGCAGAGGGTGGAAGAGCCCTTGGCCGCCCAACCCCAGCTCTCTGGCAACACGGGAGCCTGTGGGACTTGCTGAGAGCCCAAGAGTTCACTCCGCTTGCTGCTCTTTCGTTGAGTGTTCATTTCCTCGGCAAAGCAGGGACGAGCTCATTTGTATGAAATTTCTCTCCCTCCTTCCCTCCATCCCCTCCCAGACCCAGGACACACAGACATGCAGTGAACCAAGCTGGTGGGGTTCCATAAAATCAGAGGGATTTCTTTCAAAATGCAAACGTTTCCCATGTGCCCTATGAAAGCTCTGAAACAACCATTTCAGTCTCCAGAGGCACAAGGGCTGGTCAAGAGGAATAACCTTCCATCTCCGAGGTTGCCACCCACAATTCCATCACTGCTGGGTGACCAGGGAGAGCTTAACTACTTCCTCTGCCTCAGAAAGGCCTGGTGGCAATTCCTCAGGAGTCTCAGCAACAGGCTCGCGACCTGCAGGGCAGCCTCAGGCTGAGAGCTGGGCTCGGCTGGCTGCTCCAATGTGATTCCTGGCCCTGCCACCCGCTTGCTGTGCGGCTTTGGGCCAGGTCCCTCATCTCTCTGGAGTGCAGTTCTGCATCTGCAAAGTGTGGACAATAGTGGCCCTTCCTCCCTGGGATGCCGGGTGGGAATCAGCGAGACCATCTTTCCCAAGTAATTAGCCAGATGCTCAGCCCAGAGGAAGCAACTGCCATCGGGCAGGGTGAAGAAAGAATGACCCCAATACATCCGCCTGCGACATGGGCGCTTGCCTGTTCATTCCGGAAGCTACGAGACATGAGACACTCCCCAGGCTCTGAGTCACACTGGTCATCTCATTGGCGGTCAGCAACTGACCAGCTGAACCCAGAAAGGTGGTCAGCTGAGCTACCTGTGGTGCCGAGTCTGGCAAAATTGAAGCTTATCTTCAAAGAAGACGGGGCAGGAAAAGCTGTTCAGTGGTTTCTAGTCTGTTTCACTGTAATTATTTGGGAACAACTCAGTGTAGCCCAGGGAAGCAGGTCCCTCCTCTGTCTAGCAACGTCCAGCAACGTGTCCTCCTCACGTGACCAAGCAGCACCCGTCAGGATTCGCTGCTGAACCTGAGCCTGACGGGCACTTGCCTCCTTTCCTGCAGGCAGCTCACCGCCTTCGGGAGGGTTAGAAAAGCAGCGAGGAAATTCACTGGGCTCCTACTGGAGAGAACGGTCGCTGGGCCACGAAATCGCGGTACTTACGAACATGAGGCGCGTGGGGATGTTGTCTGACTGCACCAAGGGGTTTTTGTACAACCAGATCTCCTCTGGCTGGATGACTCTCTGGAATGGATCCAAAAACTCTGTGAAACTGAAAGAAAACAAAAAGCTGCCTGAGGGCCTAGCTCAGCGGCTGCCCCTGGTTCCGGGAAGCAGCCCTCACACCCCTGGGAGGCTCAGCCCTCAGGGCAGGAGGAGGGGGCGACAGCTGCCCCTCCTGGTGGTTCTCAGCCAGGTCCCCCTGGGGAAACATGGAAAGAATTGCTGGACTTGGCAGCGTCTTCTGTCGTCACCTGCCAGCAGGGACCCATCTGGGCATGTGGGAATAGCTGAGGGTGACAGACAATGACCCCAGGAACCCGGGGCTCCAAAGGGAACTGGAAGCTGAGGTCAGAAGGGAGGCTCAGCAGCAAGTCTCTGGGATCAACATGGACTGACCTGGGGCACCGCTGAAGCAGCTGGCACCACCGGGGAGAACTGGGTTCTTCCTCCAGGTTCCCCCGGGGGCCCGGCCACCCTCTAGGCCACCAGTAGCGGGCAGAGCGAGAAGGAAAAGCCTCCAGGAAAGACAGGGTTGGGGCGGGGGAGACGCAGAGGAGACAAAGGAAGAACAAGGGGAAAGAGGGACATCCCGGGGCTGCTGTCGAGGAGCCAAACAGCTCTAAGCACCAGCTCACCATCTCTTCGCCCTCCTGACCCCTCCCACACCCTGGGGCCCACAACACCCAGGCATGTGAAAAGTGGTCACCCCCCAAGAGAAAAACGGGGAGGGGGACGGGGGTGGTTTCCTTTGTGAGCTCTCAGCCATCAGGCCACCTCCCAGCTCTCCAGCCAATTCTCCACCAGGCAGACTGTTCAGAACAAACGTCCCGAGACCCAGGCATGCGCACACGCACACACACGCGCACACACACGCGCACACGCAACACACACAGACAACTGGGCCGGCCAAGTGCAGGCAGCACAGCCACAGCGCGACCCTAGGCGAGTCTGAGGGCCTGACGCTCTCCCTTCCCTCTGCTCCAGCACCTGCCTCTTGGGGAAAGCTCCAGGCGCTACCGAGAACTGGGTTTGATACATCGCAGGCCACCCAGGTGACATCTTCAGAGACCCACTGATTGGTTGCCCCCCCCCCAGGGCCAGGACTGAACCTGCGACCCAGGTACACACCCTCAACCAGGAACCAAGCACTTGACCCTCGGGTGCACCGGCCGATGCTCTAACCACTGAGCCATGCCGGCCAGGGCAAGGCATAGTTAATTTTTAAAACTGCCATCTAGGAAGCCCACAGGCCTGGCTCTGCACACACTGCCCTCGGGCTGCGCCTCCCGCCCTGGCGGGGCTGCTGGAGGAGCTGCAGGGCTCCACGTGTAATCCTGTTAGGGTCGCCTTGTTAGCTTCAGACCCATCATTCCTGCCACGAGTTCCATGCATCTTGATTCTGTTATCCTACATATTAGCCGGCCATCCTGGTTTTGCGTCATTCTCAGATTTGATAAGCCTGCTTTCTACGTCTTTATCCAAGTTGCTGATAAAAACCTTGCACAGAGGAGGTCAGATCCAGACAGCACCCTGCCCCCAGCTGCACTCCAGATGCTCAGCCAATGCCAGTGCTCTCCGGGTGCTCTACTTGTTCAACCTCCAACTATGGTATCAGCCAGAAGACATTCTCCCCTTGTTCCCAAGGGAGGCACAGACTCAGTAACAAGAACTGTAGCACCTCCCTCACCTAGAACTCGAGGGTGAACCCCATCCCTCAGTAAGAACCAGCCAGCAATCAAAAACACCTCTGGGCATGCAGAATACTCTTGCACTTAAAACAGGAAAGCTATTCAGACCCTCGGGCTAAACCTATCAACTCTTATTTTATGCACAGTGTTTACAATGTGACTATCTGTTTATAAGAGACATGCATTCCGCATAAAAACACAAGTAAGGTGGAAGTAAAAAGATGGAAGAATATATTCTGTGCAGACATTAATTCAAGAAAAGTAAGGTAGATATGTATTAACATTAGATAAAGTAGACTTCAAGATAAGGAACATTAACACAAAGATGAAACCTTAATCGTGATAAAAGGTTCATCAGAAGACAACATTTATGAGCACTACCTGGAAACACAGACATAGGAATTGACTTCCAAGTCATCACCAAAGGAAATAAAGGAGGGTGGCAAATTTTTTTTTTAACTATTCAGTTAAACCAAGAGGAAAAGAAATATTAAAATGAGTACCACAAAAAGAAAAGAGTAAGTTGGCAGCAGTATGACAAAATATTAGTTATTTCCAAGAACAGTGAATGCTTTGATTACCCTAGTTTGACAGAGGCAGTGTATCTCCACATTAAAAATTACAAGCTAAAAAGAAAAACAGAGCGAGGCTATAGAGGATTCGAGTAGCACAGCTGACTTGCTTTAATATATTTAGAGCTCTGTATCCACCAAACTACTCATTATGCCAAGTATGTAAACTTACAAAAACTGACTGTGTGTGTGGCCAGAGGATCATAAATAACAAAACGCAGACATCGCACAAGCTGGTCTCTGATCTCAGTACAATGAGACTGTTTCAGCACCATAATTATCCCACGTTGAAGAGGAGGGAACTGAAGCACAGAGAGAGAAAGAGACCCACCCGAGGTCACAGAGCTGGTAAACGGCAGGTCAGGGTCTGGCACCCAGGCACCCAGGCACCCAGGCACCCAGGCACCCAGGCACCCGAGCTGGCGCTGTAACGGCTGTGCTGTGCTCCTTCCCAGGAAGGAGGGGCCATTTTCCCTCAGATATCTAACTACGCTCTCAAACTATAATAATTAAAATGTATCCTGAGCCACCACCGGGCAAACAGAATAGAATTCACCTGCAATCCCATGGACACGTGGAAGTTTGTGCCTGATGGAGACACTACGGAGAAAACGGCCTCTTTCAACAGCTGACAGACCATGAGCAAGAAAAAAAAGTAAATCCACCACCTCATTCTATAAGTAAATTCTTATAATTAAAGAACTAAAATTACAGAAGTATGTAATTCTAGGCAATACAGAAAAATATTTCAATTTTAGATGAAAAAGGACTTTCTAAATTGGACAAACGGAAACCATAAACAAAAACACTGATTCACTTAACCACATAAAAATTAAAATGTGCACAATAACAGAAATTGCAAAGAAACGTAAGTCAGTCGCAGACATGGAGAAAATACTTGCAATATATAGAAGAAAATATTAATACCTTTAATGTATAAAGCACTCCTACACAAAAGTAAGGTAAATTTAAAGATCCAATGAAAACATGAATAAAGGGAAATAACAGATACTTCATTAAAAAATACAAGTTGCCAATACCTGAATGAAAAGATGCAAACACTGTATTCCCTCCCATGGCAAAAATATAAAGTAAACATGAACGACATCGGCATTGCCGGGGATGTCGGATAAAGGACACCGCGTGCTGGTGGAAGGTATGGACACCCCTTTGGGCGGAGAACTTGACAGTGTTCATCAGAATTTAAAACACATGTGGCCTTTGGCCAAGAAATTTCACTGGCAAAAGTTTATCACGATGTTTTAACAGGTGCCCTACAAGGTATGCACAACTGCAATACTATTTGTTACAGCAAAAAAGGGTAAACACCCTAAAATCCCACAAACAAGGTAACACAGTGGACCACCACACAGCCAGTAGAAAGAATCAAGTAGATCTACAGACACAGAAAATATCTCCAAGACAAATTAAGTTAAAAAAATGTTAAACTATAGATAAGATGTGTCCTCAGCTTTTTTATTATATAGAAATGTGTGTTGGAAAGTTTAATTTAAAAAAGTAAACAGAATAGAATTGGCAGAGAAAGGAGCTTTAAGAGTTCAGGGAGCCCTACGCTTTTTGTATTGTTTTCATTTTCACAACTATTTTATAACCTTAAAATTTTTTTAAGTGAGGAGTAACACATTCATTTCCATTACATTTGCTTGTGTGTACAACTTTCTAATATTTGCCCCAATCAGACATATTTCGGAGAGGTGCAATTTTGAGGTATATTTTCGTATAGTGCTCTTTTCTTTATTACATCATAAAACGTCACTGTGTTTCTTCATGATTTTCAAAATGATTATTTTAGTAGCCATATAGCATTCTCTTTGTGTCCATAATTTACCAAGCCATTCTTCAAAGACTGACCATTGGAGTTTTCATTTATTTTTATTTGACAAAAATACTAACTTTGCTTTGTACAGAACACACCAATGAACATCTTTATACAGGAAGATTTCTGCAATTGTTACATTAGTGCCTCTTCTAAAAATTTTCTTCTAAAAATTCTAAGTCAAAGGGCAGGACTAATTTTGCGCAACACTGCTCTTCAAGGGGGCCATTCACAATTCACCGACGTCTTCTAACCACATCTGCTCCACCACAGTCTTGCACATCCTGGGAGTTCATCCTGACTTTTTTTTTAAATCCTTACCCAACGATATGCTTTTTACTGATTTTTAAAGAGAGGAAGGGGGAGAGAGACAGAGAAACATCAATCGACTGCCTCCTGTAGGCACCTTGACCGGGGAGGAACCACAACAGAGGTAAGCGTCCCAAACGGGAATTGAACCCACCGCCCTCCGGTGCTCTAGATGATGAAGCTCCAACCAACTGAGCCACCTGGTCAGCACTCATCCTTACTTTTTGACTTTTCTCTAAATATTTTAGTTGATATAAAATATAGGTTGATTTCTGACCCAATTCTCACTTCAAACATTTCTAAGGCAATCAAAAGGAATCACCCAGTGCCCTAACTGAGGATATTTTATTCTTTCCCCAAACAGGAAACATCTATATTGATTTTTCTGGTTATGAATGAAAGTAATAAATTGTACTGTAAAATAGTTTGGACCGTAAGTAATATAAAGAAAAAGCAATTATTACAAAATTCCATTGGCTTGAAATAACCATAAAGATTTTTTGTGTGTATTGTCATGGACGTTTTTCTTACAGAAACAGACACAGCTTAATTTGGTTACATTTCCACATTACAGCAGCGTTATGCACCGTTCTGTGACTGGCTTTTATCACTTAACAGCAATTTATGGATCTCTTCACAACTCATCTGC